CACATACTTAGTTTTAAAAACAGAAATCTAGACTATATATAACTCAGAGTTAATTGGTGGGATTCTCATCCTGACTAACTATATATGCTGATACCTGTGAACTAAGCAACTGCACTGAAGATAGCAATGTGTAACACTAGGGTCATGCTTAGAATGCCTGTCATTCTGGTCTTCTAAATATGTACTGCTTGTCATATCATATCAACTACTGCTATACTGTCTCTCAAGTAAATGTTTGTTTAAAAAAGAAAGGGTAATAAATGAAAACAAGAGACAAGAAAAAAATGTCATAGGACTGTCCTGCTAAATGCTGTATATGGTTAGATTTCTAAATTTCTGTGTAAAAATATGTAATTGTTTATTCCTATTTTCTAGAATATTTATTTTTTCTTCACATTCTATAGGGATTTAAAGTTGAACATATCAATATTTGATGGAAAACACCTGTTCCATGCTAAAAGATGTTTGATATTCAGACAGACAGTGAGGTTAAGCTCAACTGCCTCTGTTATAGGATAATATCATTAAGCTTCCCTGCAAGTGGGTTAACAACTCCAGTCTGCAGACCAAAAGTTAGAGAAAAAGAAGGGCTGCAAGGACAGCCAACATTTTGACCCTAGCCTTTCAAGGTCAGTGAGGACTCAGGATATAAGAGAACCTGTACTGTAACATCCTGTAACTCAGCGGTGTCCCAAATTTTCTATCAAGGAGATTATGGGGCCACAGAGGAAAGTGATTGACGATGTAGAGTGTGTGTAAGGAGAGTCACATGGAGAGAAAACTTTCTCTCAGGCTTTCAGAGAGAGCAAATTGGTCAAGCAATGGCCGTGATTCATCCACATGGCTGACACTGACAAAGGATCTACAAACTTTGGTATAGAGTTTCTGAGTAAATCCTGAGGGGATTTGACTGACCTTGTCAAATACAAAAGTTGCATTTCTTGTTAAATAGGTCTTGCTTTATCTTGGTCTTAACCATCCAGCAGAAAAGTATAAAAACGAGGTATAAAAAGTAAAGCCATATTAATAGGCTGAGCTGTAAAAGGCTCAAGTCAACAACTTCTGACATTGCCAGTCCTGAGGATAACCCACTACTATTATGGCTTACTGGAGTATATTGGATTATTTTGCTGAATTCATGCACCTACAATATTTAAATGGCAATGGAATATCCATCTCTGACAAAACTAAACAAAAATGGGGATATAAATGAAGGACCATTTCGTATCTGTATATGTAGAATATACAGGATAGATATACAGCTACTTTCTCTTAATTCAATAAGAAGATTTGCACTAATAGTGTTTGGACAGGTTATCATGTCTGCATCTTGTACTATGACTAACCACTACGAAGACAACAATATGCAATGTACTGATTATTAAAACTGTCCTACTAATCGGTTTGGAAACTGTCTCATTGCTGTTTGTTTCTCAATAAAATTAATTTTAACAAAAAGAATGTGAAATACAAAATATATATATAAAGCTCAGGCTTTAGTCTATCATTTATTGACTTAAACAATGGCTATTCCTTCAGCTACTTATAGGAGCCCCTACAGTGTTAACAGCAGAAGAGAGGTTCTCTGGTGAATCCCCACTAAAGCCAATGGCCAAAAGAAAAGTTGACTAAACAGGCCACTGGATTCTTTTCCACAGCCAGATCTCTGGTTGTGTGGCACATAGAAACTAAGAGGACAACTGAGGGGTGCCGGCTACAGCAACTCTCTGGCACATACCAGAAGGTTCATCAGTGGATGCCGAGTCCTGACAGCCTGACTGGGTAACCAGCAGAAAAATCTCCATTTATCCACTGTCCACACTGCAATTGTCAAAGGAGATGAAAGGTAACCTTTTCAGTGATTATCTGGTATCCTCTGACCCAAGTACCTGAAACAATGCTGTTAAAGCCTTTTTTTAAAGCATTCTTTAAGAGTCAAGATATAGGTCTGGACTTTGCACTAATAAATTAGAAACCCCAGTTTTCTCTAACTCATTGAGTTAACTTTAAAATTCCTTGATTAGATATCTCCCTACTGGGCTGGGGAGATAGCTTGGCAGCGTAAGGACCTGGGTTCTATCTGTGGTACTGCCCACCATGTACAACCCTGTGATGATCCGGCCAGTGAATCTGGGCATGGTGGCACATACCTATAATCCCAGTGCTGGGGAGGTTTAGACAGGAGGATCACTACAAGTCTGAGCTGTGCGGTGAGATCCTGTACCAAATAAATATGTCAACAAAGAATAAGAAAAATATTTCAGTAAGCCATTTTCTTTCATGTGGGCACAGAAAGCTGATAAATGGGCCCTAACATGTGAACTGTGATTGCTAGGTGATGGATATATTTAATCTGTCAGCTTCAGAGGTGTGAAATTCTGTAAATGGGTTTTAAAAAGTGTTGCCTTCTCTTGTTGCTAGAAAACACTGGCTAGGTAATTAGGTACATAACAGGAATGCCTTAAAGAATTTTTGCCCTACGTATCATGGTGGGCTTTTTCTCTGAGCCATTTTTACCTCACTCTATCTCTAGACGTGACCTCTTTTGCAGGCAGACAAACACTTCAATTACCTCCAACTCCCCTTTTGGTATTTGCCTTCACTGTCTTTTAAAGAACTATAAAGCAGTGCTTTAGTACTAAGCAGTGCTTCCTTCTTTAAACATGACTGCTACACCTGAACTCACCTGTTAACTTGTGCTTTTAAAAATACCTGCTGGAGTAAAGTTTGAGTTTCCAATAAATATAAAAAATGTACCAGTTTGAGGCTGGATAGGCTGGCAGAATTGTAACTTCTGGTCTCTCGTCACATGGTATCCACCTGTGCTGGGGATGACTCGAGGGACCATGTAACGGCTTAGAAATCAAACAGAAATTCAAGGAATGCCAGTTCTTTCCTTTTGCATTTTAGAAATGGGAGCCTCAGTGTCAAAATCTTAGTCCTTTGCAATATATTCTTAAGCACTAGAAAATGTTCTACCTTTACATGTTGAAAAAGAGCTGTTTGATATTTTTTTGCACCTGTGGATGGCCTGCCTACCCTGTAGAACCAAGTTGGAATGCAGAGAAAGTAATGATTATGATGCCATTTCACAACTGTAAGGGACTGGAAAAATGGTCAAAACTGCCTTATGTTCAGATTTTCTTTGCACTAAAAAATAATCCTTGTGTTCAGAATATAAATGTAAGCCATGGAAAATCAGACACTACTAGCCCTTATGGTATCTACTATCTTTGAGCCCAAGGCTACTCAGCTGCCCTGACCTTTGGCACCTGAGGGTGAGGTTTCTAAAGCAACATTAATCACCTCACCCTCTGTTACTGGGGTCTGAGGCTTCCTTTAGCTTTCTTGAGTCTTGACAGTGGAACTTTTAGGCTAGCCATAACTGAAACATTCACAGGGTTGTATCCATCCTTAGCTGCTTTTCTTCAAGCTCTTCAAGGACAATATCCCTTATAGGAGTTAAATGGAGAGCTTAGAACTACTCACATTCAGATCTAGGAAAGTTTTCAGACAACACTGATAAGTGCATTCAGGTCTTTAAAGGACTTATTCAGATGTATAAACTATACTGGAAAGATATAATGGTATATTTAAATCAAATATTGCCTTCAAATGAGAGTCCAATTGGTATGGATTTTAATCTGAGTGTTTCTTCTTTAAAATTTATTTATTTAATTTGGAACAGGGTCTCACTACACAGTTTGGACTCCTTGTGATACTCCTGTCTCAGCCTCCCCAGTGCTGGGATTACAGGCTTGTGCCACCATGCCTCATTTTGGCAGGCTCAGCACCAGGGCACAGCCTGTGATACCAGGGATTGAACCTGGATCCTTGCGCTTACCAGGCAGGCACTTAGACTGCTGAGCTAACTCCCCAGCCTAATCTGAGTGTTTCTTAAGTGTCCTGCACATACTGAGATATACTTTTATTTTAAATTTTTTTTTTTTTTTTTTTTTGCAGAACCAGAGAATGAACTCAGGCCCTTGTGCTTGCCAGGGTAGCACTTATTCTTCTGAGCTATCTTTCCCACCCCTGAGATATACTTTTAGAATGGGTTTATTTTTAATTATTTAGTACAGGGTCTACAGGGTTTCACTATACAGATCAGATTGGCAGCGATCCTCCTGTTTTCAGCTTCCCAAGCACTGGCACCACCACGCCTAGTCTCAATGCGCCCTGGGGGTTGGGCCAGCATGGCACACTGGGACTGAACCCCAGTTCCTGCCTCTGCCTAAGCAGGTGCTTTAATCTGCTGAGCTATCTAGCCGGCCCTTTTTTAGAGTGACTGAGTTCTACTGTATGTAATTATCCATAGATCTCACCAATATTTACTGAATTTTCATCATTTTGTCACTAGTCCAAGATGCCAATTTTGCCATAAATTACAAGTCTATATATGTACATTATCTGTTTTGTAGATCATGATTCTATTTGGTAATCTGAGTAATACTATATAAACTTCATACTGTCTTAATTACTATAATCTTGAACAAATTTTTTTATTACCAACAAGGCAAATTCTCATTCTTTGACTGCTATTTTTCTAGCAGTATATTGGCAATTATAATACTTTTGCTCTTCTCCTTGGGAAAGGAATTATACTACCTCTTTAGATTATTTTGGGGAGAACTGATACCTTTATTATCTTCCATTGAGGACATGGTACATGTTCTTATTCATTTAGGCTTTCTTTCACTTACAAATCTTTGTAGCATATCCTGTAATTCTTCTTTTTTAGTATAACACTACTTAATATTCATTTTGTTGATTTATCTGTAGTCTCATGTTTAGTTTTTGAAATCTCAGTAAATATATATATATTTTTTTAAGAAGGGATTTTTGCATCAGTTGTAGAGAAAAGGATACCATGGTCCTACAACAGCTAACAATAAAATCAGATTTAAAAAATCATATTAATTGCTTCACCTAATTTAGGTCTTCATTATTTTGTGATAAGTTTATTTCTCTAAGATCATATGTATTTTTAAAAATATTACCTGCAGAGTACAGTTCATCATCCTTATTATGTAATCAAATTGTTGATGGTCCAATATTGCCCGGTTTTGCTGGACATGTAAACCCAGTTCATCTGTGAGACATTGTCTTGCTGCCTTTCCTTTAAGGGCCCTCAGTGCAGCAGGAAGGGTCTGAGGAGAAGAGTGTTACAAGTGACCAAAATGTACCACTGGGGGAAAAATAAATATGAAATAATCACACTGAATATTCAAATGAATTCTCTAAACTATTTAATATAGTTATTAGTAAAAATTAAATGGCTAGGGAAGAAGTAATTTGCTATTAACACCATTAAGAAATGCATTTGTATTATTTTTATTTGTAAGCCATGCTGAAAACTAAGTAGAAATAGCTTATATGGTAAATTGAAAAAAAAATACAAAACATTAAATTTACTTTTTTCCTTAGCTTGACAAAAACATTACCATGTGAAAGTTGAAAGTGAGATAAATAAAAGAAAGTCTACATGTCAATCATAAGAAAAATAGATCAAAAGGAACAAATGAAGGGAGAGAAGAAAAATCCTATATAGGTAAGGGTAGACACCCTTACCCTTTTATATACCCTTATATAACTAAGAGTAAACACTTGTACATGCTTTACCAGCTCCTGAAACAGATGTTGAGAACTATGATCATATACTAGTAAGGAAAGGTTACATTGCATTCAGTATGTTTCAAAGAAGGTAAGAAAATTTAAGGGGATGTGTATAAATTTAATACCAGTTTTTATAATCCATGACATAACTTAGATTCTTTGCAATAAAAGAAATTATATTTAAATATTAAGTTTCTAAGTAATATGTCAATAGGGTTTAAAGAATAACATTTTAAAGTAGGAGAAAAAAGTATTAACAAACATAATTTGTATATTTCCCTTGTGGCTACAGAATTTGGCTTTGACTAAAGTTTTAAATCTTAGACTGTACTCATTTTAAGTGACTGAACAACGAAAGGACATTTTCTTAGGGTAAGGGAGAAAATTTAGAGAGCTCAGTTGGCAACATCGACAAGTGAGTCTCAAATGGAAATGATTAAATGCTTACTTGGGAAAGACAATATTTATTACCTTTTCAGTCTCCAAAGTTTTGTTTTCAAATATAAATGAGATACAGTTTCTAACAACTTCCAGTCTCTGTGCACTATTGAAAACTGTTGTCACTTTATCCACTATTGAAACTAGTAAAAGAATATAAAGAAAACACAAATAAACTTCTCTGCCAATTACAAAAGCAAGGCAAATATTACTTTAAGACGTTTAATATGACCAATACTCAAAATTTATTTTTCCTTTCTAGATGATACTGAGATATTTTATTTCCCTTTTAATTACATTTTGTAATTTTTATGTATTAGTCAATGAGTAATTTCACTTGATAGTCTAATGATACGCTTAGCTTATACAAATTAATTCACATAATAAAGTAATATTTCATTAAACAAAGGTAAACATCTACTTTTATTTAATTATAAACAAATAGATAATATAAAAGGTTTGGGTATAGGGCCACAACAAAAAAAGCTAATACTCATATGCAGGAAGATTACTGACAGAAAGAGAAATTATTTCTAAGGCATTACTAAGGAAAAATTATATTATCCACCCCACAAATTAAACACTACAAATGTGAATAGAGGAAACTTGAAGGGAAGAAACAGCATTAAAAAAAAAGAAATGATCCGTGTGGCATGTGGTGCATGCCTGTAATCCCAGCACTTGGGAGACAGGAGGATCTCTAGAATACGAGGCCAGCCTGGGCTACAAAGTGAACTCAAGGCCAGTTTGAATTGTATAGGAAATCACGTCTCCAAAAAAGAAAAAAAAGAAAATCATGACCAATGAACTGCTACTGGTTTAGGAAAGTCACATTTTAGTGCATTTTTATTTCTGCAAATTTAGTACCTTTCACCTTTTAACCCGTCAAATGTTTAGTGTCCCATTTTTAGAACACCCATTTCAATGGAACATAATGATATTTTTTCTCTTTAAACTCTGGTTCCTAGAATTTTTGTAGGTAACATGAATATCATGTAAAAATTCAAAATACTGTAATTTTTACATAAATGGGTTGGAAAATTCTACCGTATGATACATGCTACAGTTATCTAAACAAATTTAGCTTGTTAAAATAATATCAGAAGGTTAGAAATGAAAGTAGTAGTTGTAAGGAAAAGTAATACAATTTCACAAAGCACTGTTTCATTTGTATAAATGAGCTAGAAGCAATCATTTTTAAGCCTATCCATACTCCCTAAGACTATTTCTTCATTCACATCTCTTTAATCTCATCAGTACAAAAGTCATGTTCTTAAAAAAATGTTTTAAAAATCACTGCAATAATTATATTCTTACAGAAAGCTGCAAATAGAGTATGAAGAGGATCCATGTATTCATTGCCCATTTCCCCTGTGATGGTATATTACATAAACACAGTGCTTTATCAGACTTTGGAAATCAATGGGCATCATACAATGAACTAGACTATACAACACTTACTTGGATTTTAGCAGTTTTTTAAAAATAATTTCTAATCATGTAACGTTAATTTTCTGCATACCATGATGGTTAAACTGATTATATTACATGGGTTTTCTGTCTGAAATGTCCATTCTAAATTGTGGGCTCTGGTGTTCGGGTCAGTGGCATGTACTGAAATAGGAAGCTATCTGTATTATACTAGAAAAGTTGTTTTTGTTTCAGAAGAATATCACATACTTTTTATTTGAAAGCAATATGATTATATTCATAAACTTTTAATTCCAAAACCGATTTAGCAGAATTTTAAATTTTCTTTAGCTATTAGAAAACACATTTTCTTAGAATGAGTATGTTTACTACCTGAGGATTATAGTTTTCCTTTGGAGGATACAATCTAATTCACATTTTACAATGATAAATGGATCAGTCCTGAGGATGCTATAATACTTGTAAATATAAACCAACTGCAAAATATATCACGAAGAACATGGATAGAACTAATCACAGAAAAAAATATTCAGCATTTTATTGCCTGTGGGAAAAAATCAGCATTCTTATACATTGCTGGAGAAAATGTAAAATGATGTAGCTGCTCTTGAAAAGTTTGACAGTTCCTTGATACATTAAATATAAATTAATTACCATCAATCAGCAATTCTATTCATAGATGTGTACCTAATCAAACAAAAACATATATCCACACAAAACATGAAAAATCAATATTTGCACCAGCATTATTTATAATAGCCAAAAACTTGAACTATGTCAAACATCTGTTATAAATAGATAAATATCCATATTTCTTATTCAGTCATAAGAAATAATGACATACTAATACATGCCTCAATATAAACCATGAAAATATTACACTAATTAAAGAAGCCAGCTGGCTTAATGGTACACACCTACAATCCCAACACTTGGCAGGCCAAGGCAGAGGGGATTGTTTTCAGTATGAGGCCAGGCTGAAGGAAATAGTGAGTTCAAGGTTAGCCTGAACTACATAGTGAGATTCTTGTCTCTTGACTCAAAAAACCAAAGGAAGCTGGGTGTGGTGGCACACGCCTGTAATCTCAAAAAGATAAAACAACAAAAACAAAAACACAAACATCACCCCCAAAAGAAATAAGTTAGTTATAAAACACCACATTATATATAATCATATTCATATAAAATGTCCAGAGTAGGCAAATCTATGGCAACAGAAAGTAGATTACTATGTAAACCTGGGGAAGTGGTTTTGGTAGGAAATAGTTACTGTTAATAGCAGGGGCAGGATTTCTATCAGGCTTATAAAGATGTTCTGAAACTACTGGTAATAGTTCAACAACTCTGGGAATATATTCACTTACATGGAGGAATTTACGGTATGTGAATTATATTTCAACAACAACAAAAAAAGATTTTTATAGTAATAGCAGTTGGTTGTATGATTATCCTTTGTGAGAGACAGTGAATAGAACAGAACTTTTTTTTTTATGCTTGCAAAATGGTATAATATTTCTTTCTTTTTTTTTTTTAGAACTTCTGATTACTGATAATGAATCTAAGTTATATGAGTTTGTTCACTCTGTAAAAATTTGTCAAATTGCATACTTCTATTTGTGTGGTATAGCTTGACAAAAGGTTTACTTCTATTTATTTTATTTTTTTCTTTTCTATATTTTTTATTGAGAAACAAATAGCAACGAGACAGTTTCAAAACTGATTAATAGGACAGTTTCAATAATTAATACATTGTACATTGTTATCTTCTTAGTGGTTATTCATAGTACAAGATGCAAACAGGATATCCTGTCCAAACACTATTAGTACAAATTTTTTCTTCTCATTGAATTAAGCAAAAGTAGCTGTATATCTATCCTAACTATTGTGCATATACAGATACAAAATGGTCCTTCTTTTGTATCCCTTTTCTTTGTTTATTCCTGTCAGAGATGGGTATTCCATTGCCATCTAAATACTATAGATGCATGAATTCAGCAAAACAATCCAACACAGTCCAGCAGTCCACAATAGTAGTGGGTTATTCACAGAAGTTGTTGACGTGAGCCTTTCACAGCTCAGCATATTAATATGGCTTTACTTTATATACCTTGTTTTTACACTTTTCTGCTGGACAGTTAAGACCAAGATAAAGCAAGACCTGTATAGCAAGAAATGTAACTTTTGTATCTGATAAGGTCAGTCAAGTCCCCTCAGGGTTTACTTTTAAAATAGACAGACAAATACATACCAACAGGTGGACCTGCTGGCACAACACACTTCTTCTCCATCCGTGTAGCAGGAGGTGCATTCTGATTCTTGGCAAGATTTTCCTGTATTAATTCCTGAACCAGAGCTTCATTAATCTTAGGGAAAGGAACAATGTGAACTCGCAAGTGTGATCCTTCTGTTGGGCGTGGAACTTTCTGAAATGCCATATGAGGGTTTGGATTTTCCTACAGTATCAGACATAGGTAATGTTATTCAAAAGTTAAAGTAAATGACAAAGAGGCAGTAATGACAAAGAAATTCGTTGGGGTACATACTAAAATCAGACAGAAAAGTGTTTATATATACATTTGTAAACATGCCAACATTAGAGTACCAGGATCCTACCTCTTTAATGATTTAAGAGCTATCACTAGGATAGTTGGTCACTCATATTCTTTTCCCATAAACATTTTTTCACCTGGCCTGTATGTCTTTTTGCTATATCTATGTATATTTTTCACTTTTCTAATTTTTTTTTAAATTAAAAAATTCAAAATAGTTAAAAAAAGGATTAGAATTGAAACAAAATTTCATTAAACAAAGTAATAGAAATTCAACAATGGTTGCTGTATACATGATATTATCTTTAAATTAGTTGTTTAGGTTACCAGATAAAAACCTGAAAAATTGATCAAAACCAAAACAAAACAATGACAACCAAAGAGTTAGAAGAAATTAAAAAGAAAGAAAAAAAGAATTTTAAGCATTAAGACCCGCAGAAACTGGCAGCACAATTATTTAAATTATACTGCATATATACATAAGTATATCCTTTTGCCTTCTTTCCTTTGTCCTTTTCCTTATCCCAGTTTTCCTCCCTGTTGAACAAATTCTTAACCTTTCACAGTATCTATTGTACCTTTCTAATTTGATTTACTCTTTCAGGTTCTTATACTAGCATGACGATATGATATCTGCACATGCTGGTCTGATTTATTTCACTTACCAATATAGTCTCTTATTGCATTCATTTATCTACAAAAGCCTCAAATTTATCTTTTTTATAGCTGAATATTACCCCATTGTGTTAAAATACCAAGTTTTTAATCCATTCCTCAGTTGATAGGCATTTAAGTTGTTTTCAAGATTTAGTTATGACAAATTGTGCTACTATAAATATGGGTACACATGTATCACTGTGGTATGATTATTCCACTTCTTTTGGAAAAATACCTAGGCATGGAATAGCTGGCTTGAATGGGACCTCAAATCCTAGCTTTCTGAGGAATCTCTCCACATTTCCACAATGGTTGTACCAGGGTGTACTTCCACCAATAGTGGAAAAGGGTTCCTCTTTCCCAACAGCCTTTCCACCATTTGTTATTGGTTGACTTCTTGATGATAGCCATTGTTTCTGGTGTAAGATGGTATCTCAGCATTGTTTTAATTTGCCTCTGTTCAATGACCAATGATGCTGAACACTTTTTATATATTTATTTGAAATTTGTATCTCTTTATTTGTGAAGTGTATATTCATCTCAGAGGCCCACTTTTGGATTGAGTCTTCGAATTTGGGAGGCCTGATTTTTTAAAACATTCTTTATATATTCTAGATAGAAAGCCTTTGTCCCAGGGATAGTTAGCTATAATTTTTCCCACTTTATGCGTTTTTTAGTGATTTCTTTTGATGTGCAGAAATTGTTCAAAAAGATGAGATTCCAATTGTTGATTCTTTAGAGAACTTCTCATACAGCTTGATTTTTGCTCATAAACTCTCTACCTATTCTTATGTCATTAAGATTTCTACCTACTTTCTCCTCCAGAAGATTTAGTGTTTCAGCAAGAGACAGGAAAAGGAATATTGTGGGACTGTCCTGTTTCAAGGTTGTATATGGTGAGATTTTTGGACTTATGTGCAAACATGAGAAGTATAGAATTATTTATTCTATTTTTAAAATATAATCTAATTCTTAAATGTTTTTTTATCATATTATGTAGGGACTTAAAGTTCAACATATCAATACTTGATGAAAAATACCTGTTCCTTATTATGCCTAAGATGTTTGAAATGCAGTGAGATAGTGAGGTTAAGCTTGATAGCCTAAATCGTTTGATAATAACAATAAGCTTGTCTTCTGAATGGTTAACAACCTAAGTTTGCAGACCAAAATTAGAGAAAAAGGAGGGCTACAAGGAAAGCCAACATTTTGGCCCTAACCTTCTAAGGTCAATTAAGACTCAGGACATATGAGAACTTGTACTGTAACCTCATGTACCTAGAAAGTGTCCCAAATTTTCTGATCAAGAAGATTATGGGGCCAAAGAGGAAAGTGATCGATGACGTAGAGTGTGCCTAAGGAGAGTCACATGGGGAGAAGACACTCTCTCAGGCTTTCACAGAGAGCACATTGGCCAAGCAATGGCCGTGACTCATCCACATGGCTGCAATGACAAAGGTTCTACAATCTGAGGTACAAGATCTCAGGATAAATCCTGAGGACATTTCACTGACCTTCTCAGACCAAAAAGCTACAACTCTTGTTGCACAGGTCCTGCTTTACCTTGGTCTTAACCATCCAGTAGAAAAGTATGAAGACGAAATATAGGAAGTAAAGCCATGTTGTTATGCTAAATTTATCTTTATTGACTCAGGTCAATAATTTCTGACATTGCCAGTTAAACAGAAGACCCAATGCTATTATGGGCTACTGGACTCTTTTAGAATATTTTGCTGAGTTTACACACCTATAATATTCAATAATGGAACTTAGAAAAAATGGGGTATACCGATGAATGTCCATTTTGTATCTGTGTATTCAAAGTGGTTAGGATAGATATATAGTTGCATTCTCTTAATGAATAGAATGATTTGTTCTAACGGTGTTTGTAAATAGGATCTCAAGTCCGCATCTTGTACAGCAATTAACCACTAGGAAGAATATATGCAGTGTGTTATTTGTTGAAACTGTACTTCCGATTTGATTTGAAACTGTCTCATTGCTATTTGTTTATCAATAAAATTAAAAAAAACCAAAGTGAATGGAGAAAAAAAAAAGATTTAGTGTTTCAGTTTTAATATTTAAATCTTTGATCCATTTTGACTGTAGTTTTAAAAAATTAATTAATTAATTAATTAGGTACATGGACTTGTTATGTAGCTTGAACTCATAGTGATCCTCTGATCTCAGCCTCAACAGCACTGGAATAATAGGTGTGAATCGCGATGCCAAGTTTCTGTGGCTAGACAGCATGATCAGGACTGTGAGGTTGACATGGAATGAGGTACTGGGATCAAACCTGGGTCCTTGTGTTTTCCAGGCAGATGCTTGGACCACCGAGCTATCTCCCTACCAACTTGACTTTAGTTTTGTACATGGTGATAGGTATGGGCCTATTTTTAGTCTTTGGCCTGTGGAAAGCCAGTTTTTCCAGCACCACTTATTAAAGAAGCTATCTTTCTTCCAGTGAATATATTTGACTCTTTTGTCAAAGATAAGGTGGCTGAGTATGTTTGTAGGTGTGCCTGCATCTTCTGTTCTGTATTACTGATCCTCAGTTTTTTGTTTTTTGTTTTTTTTTGCTTTGTAATATATTTCAAGTCAGGGATTGGGATCTCTCCTACCTTACCTTTGTTGAACACGATTATTTTTGGTATTCTAGGCCTCCTTTTTTGGTTCCAGATGAACTTTAGGACTGTTTGCTAGTATTCTATTAAGGATTTTTGTATCTATGCTCATTAGGGAGATTGGCCTGTAGTTTCCTTTTTTCGTTGGGTCCATCTTTCGTTGTGGTATCAGACTGCTTTTTCCAGATCTGTGAGGTATACTAATGGTATTTTAATTGGGATTGCATTGAATCTGTATCAAAGTTTGGGATTATGGTCATTTTCACAATGTTGGTTCATCCTATCCAGGAGCAAGGAGTATCTTTCCATTTTCTGAAATCCTCTTTGAACTCTTTTTTCAGAGTACTATTTAATAGTCAGTGTATAGATTTTTTACTTCCTTTGTGAGATTGATTCCTAAATATTTATTTATCTTTTAGATGTTATTGTAAAAGGTATGGTTTCCATAATTTCTCTCTTGGTGCGTTTGTTGTCTGTGCACAGAAATGCTATTGGTTTTTGAGCGTTGACTTCGTATTCTGCTAATATGTAGTGACCTTCTTTACTACATGCTTGGCTTGAAGTTGACATTGCCAGAAACCAGTATAGCTGCTTTTTTTTTTTTTTTTTTGGATTCCTGTCTTATGGAGTATTGCTTTCCATTCTTTGATGTTCAGTCTATTAATTTTGAGTTAAATGTTTTTCATGTATGCAGCATATTGTTGGATTTTGTTTCTTGATCCACTCTGCCAGTGTGCTTTTGTTGACTGATGAACTGAGGCCATTTACATTGATGGCTGTAACTGATATGTGTTGGCTTATCTTTGTCATGTTGTTTTCCTACTGTAGGATCCCTACTTTTTTTCCTCTGTTTAATTACTTGCTCTGCTTGCTGATTCTCTTCTGTTTTTGTTCTTGAAAGTTGTGGTCCTCTTGGTCACTTTCTAAAATATGTGTCCGTCTTTGTAGGGTTGGTTTGGTCATCATCAATATCTTCCACGTTCTTTGTCATGGAAGTATCTTATCTCTCCATTAAATCTGATAGCTAGTTTTGCAGGGTCCATCAATCTGGGCAGGAAGCTTTCTTTTAAGACCTGGAATATCTCACTGCAAGCCCTTCTTGATTTGATTGTCTGTGCTAAGAAATCTGCTGTGATTTTGATAGGCTTTCCATTATAGGTGATGTTTGTTTTCTCTAAGAGCTTTTCTTTTCTTTTTACTGGGAAAAAAAAAGTATATATTTAGAATTAGCCAGCTGGACTCATTTAGATGATCTTTGTAGGGTTGGTTTCGTTGTCATCAATTTCTTCTGATGCATTTGTTGGCACCATCCAATGAATCATAATTGGGAGCCAGTCGAACATATGCCTTCTTCTCTCCATCAGGCCTGATTAGTGTATTGACCTTGGCAACATCAATGTCATAGAGCTTCTTAACAGATTGTTTGATTTGGTGCTTATTGGCTCTGACATCCACAATGAACACGAGTATGTTGTCCTCGGTATTTTTCATGGCTGATTCTGTGGTCAAGGGGAACTTGATGATGGTATAGTGGTCAAGCTTGTTTCTCATGGGGGCGCTCTTCCGAGGGTATTTGGGCTGCCTCCGGAGCCGCAGTGTCTTGGGACAGTGGAAGGCGGG